ATGTAATAAATGCAGTAAAAAAGGCAAATAGGATTATCAAAAGAAAATCAGATTATGTATTTACTTGATTCTGTTGTTTTTGACAGTTTCTCTGGCTTACATGTAGCCAAAATCTGTTTGGGGACAAATTTTACACATGAAATAACTCTGGAAATATGTTAAGACGAAATGAAAATTTAAAATTTATATGAAGCATAGCTTCCTCAACAGGACGGTACAATTTCATTAGAGGCCTGTGGTATGAGGAAAATACCAGATTTAGTATGACAATAACGAAAATGCACCAGATTTAAATGACAATACTGATACGCACAAATTTACGAACAGGAGTATTGAATAGGATACACCGCCGACATGTTGAATAGTACACTGTTTCTCCAGCAAATATTGAGCCGAAAGTTTTTGTTAAAAACACTTCTTCTGCCTCGAAATCCGTATTTTCCACGACCATTTGGCCAAGACACAGATTAATGAAGCCTTGGCACCGAACTGCGCGATTATTTCATGGCAAGGTGAATAGTTACCCGGCTGATATCGTTTTTGGGAGGACTTTCATTTCGTATTAAAGTGAATGTTAAAGTCTATGATTATAAGGTTAGACATGCCGACCTATTCGACAAAGCTTGAGAGAACACCAAAATGCGTGTAAAGTAAGCTGGGTCCAACGATTAGAAGTGGTCGGACACATGCCAGAGACTGGGCATGAGGTGGAACGGTCTCAAACGAGTGGGTTTGCTGATTATGGTATGTCTGCTGTTAAAAGAAAGATAAGAGAGGCTATTGAAATTAATAGTTTAGGAAATACGTTGAACGTGAGGAAGGGTGATAGAAAGTTGAGTAGGTACTACGTATGTCTGATTGATAGATTGAAGGAGAGAGAAGGTGTTGGGCCGCCATCCAAAAGAAGGAGAGTCAATTTGTCTGCTCGTTGATGGTTCAAACTTCACTCACACTCGTCCAACATGTTAGATTGAGCTCATCAGCCAAACCAAACGTGTCAGATTACGCAGTCATACCTTTCCTTGTGTGGTCAAAGGTTAATGACCCTAGACTAAAAGGTTAGGACAAGCTTACATCTCACTATCTCTACCATACTTGCTTACGGACTTACACAGTCTCGATCAGGGCTTTCTCTTGGGTCATTAGGCCTTGATGATCAGAGTCTGACATTGACTTATTGATAACTCTGATTTTGGAGCGGTATTGCATATAGACGCTAACACACACACACATACACACATGCACACACTCGAGCAAAATTAGTAGGACCAGTATGAAAGATAATTAGCCGAAACACTACATCTTTGTTGGGGGGACTTTCATACGAAATGAAGGTCCCCTCAACAATGTTATCTCAGTAGATTCATCGGAACCCAGTTTTTCTTCGTATCTAAACTTTACATCTATATAGGTTTTTTATTTTATTTTGCTTAATTGAGTCTATATAAGAGGTAAGATTTAACCGGATAGCCTTGTTGACCAAGTGCTAAAGTGACACATTTACAGGAATTAGACCCAGCTCTGATGATGTCCATCATATGATGGACGTAAGCTCAGTCAGTTTTCACCCGAAACGAAGGAGAAGGTCTCGTGGACGTAGTCCACGAAATGGTCGTATTAAAGCCAAATGTTAGGGGGACCTCCATTTCGAATGAAAGTACATGAAGAAGAGATTCATTTGTCGATCTCACCAGATGAGGACGGATGAAAATCGTTCTACTGCAGCCGTTTAGCTTTTATATTATATTCATATTGACGCAGTGCACGAGTATTCCTCCCTCGTTTCGGGTGAAAACATGCTAACCTTTCTTCCATCATATGATGGACATCATCAGAGCTGAGTTGCATTCTTGTAGGAGTCTCACATTAATGCTAAACCAAGAACACTATCCGGCTTCATCTTACTTCTTATATACACTCAATTGAGTCAATAGATTAAAAATTACAAATCTAGACAGATCGATATAGAGTGGTTTGGTTAATTTCATTTCATACTCGTTCTGTTATTTTTGCTCCGTATTGCATATAGACGCAAATAAACACGCAAATATGCATTCTCATACAATCGAGCAAAAATAACAGAA